GACCACTGTGATCGTACGAATGCTGCTCGTAGTGCGCAGGCGCGGAATTGGTTCGCGCATGCGCACCTAGCACCACGCCACAGCGGCGTGCGTTTCACAGCAGCGTGCGTTCCACAGGGTGTTCCTGTCTTCAGCCATACTAGGCTTACAAGATCTCCCTCTGCTGCTGAATAGGCAAAAAATACAGAGATCCATAGGTCGGCTCCTGTCAGCATTTGCACTATGGTCACAAGTAGAGATGAGCGAATTATTCAAAAATTCGATTCGGCTGATTCGCCGAATTTGCGGGAGAAATTCGATTCGATGCGAATTTATTCGCCGCGAATTTAACTTATTTAAAGGGTTTCTAGGCTTCAGAGAGCCTTTATATTAGTGCAGAACACTGTACCTTTAATTTAAATGCCCTTGGAGTCTGCTGGGGAAGAGAAATAATACTGACAGTCAGTATGACATGCAGATGAGTGCCGTCGATCTTAGAATCACCGCACACTTCACTCATTTGGGCAGTCACGGGGCACGACGAAGAAGAAGAAAAGAAGAAGAATGAAAAGAAGAATGAAAAGAAGAAGAAGAATGAGAATGAAATGAATGAAAAGAAGAATGAGAAGAAGAATGAAAAGAAGAATGAGAAAATGAAAAGAAGAAGAATGAAAAGAAAAAGAATGAAAAGAAGAAGAAGAATGAAAAGAAGAATGAAAAGAAGAATGAAAAGAAGAAGAAGAATGAAAAGAAGAAGAAGAAGAATAAAAAAGAAGAAGAAGAAGAATGAGAAGAAGAATGAGAAGAAGAATGAAAAGAAGAAGAATGAAAAGAAGAAGAAGAGAATGAAAAAGAAGAAGAAGAATGAAAAGAATGAAAAGAAGAAGAAGAATGAAAAGAAGAAGAAGAAGAATGAAAAGAAGAAGAGGAATGAAAAGAAGAAGAATTCCAGTACAGCAAAAAGTGTGTCTGCAGAGAGCTCCGCTATTTCTGACAGTTCTCTGACAGTTCCTTCACATTTACAGCGGTTGAAAAACATTGTATCTATTTATTTCCGAATAAAAACATCTGTATCCTAAATGGAAACAAATAGATACAATGTTTCAACCGCTGTAAATGAACTGTCAGAACTGTCAGAAAAATAGCGGAGCTCTCTGCAGTGACACTTTTGCCGGCTGATCGGGAAAAATTTGATTCGTGCACCCGAAGTTTGCTAAAATTCGGATTTGATGCGAATCAAATTTTTCCTGATATTCGAAACGAATTCCACTTCGCCTGGTTCGATTCGCTCATCTCTAGTCACAAGCTCTCACTCTGCTGCCAAAAAAACAACTCCACTTGGAATATACCATCCTCTCCCTCCAATCCATAGAAGACATCCCCTGGCTTGGTAATATGAATGGATGTTTCACTCTTCCTTCTATACACGTGTTCATATAGAACACTACACTAATGAATGCTACTACTGCTATTAATTCAATTCTAGTAAGTTTTATGAATTCTACTATTTTTAACAGACACTCTAGCTGAATTACTCATTGTGTATGAACAAATGGACAATGTATGGTTCAAGCAATTGTGTGGGTTCCTCTGTGTCTATGGTTGTATGTATTGTGCATGTATATATATTATATAGTTTTATGTATGTGTTATATATATATTTGTACACACATTTTATGTATCCGACGATAAGTTTAATGCTATTATCAACCAATTCTTATCCAATTTTTAATCAATTTTCCTACCATTGTATTTATAAGCTGCACTTTTTAAGGTATAATGTATTATGTACCATCTATATACATTTTATATTATTCAATTTCAATTGTATGATTTATATTCATCTGGATGACTATCGATTATTTGTTGTACTTTGTTGACATCCGGGCCCCTCCCCCGGCCCAAGACAGCCCAACCCATTTGGGAGGCTCCCACTTCAGTCTGTGGGCATAAATGGGAGCATACACTCTCAGTCCAGTTAGCTCTGAGGAAGAAGGCATGACCTTCGAAACGCGTCAGCTGGACTGAGTACCTACACCCATGATGGGATTCGCGCTGGCCTCTTACCTTTGAAGTCCCTGGGTGGACTTACATGCCTGTTTTTATTCGCTGTTTGTGAGTACCTTTCCTTCATTTAATAAATTTTGGTTATTGAGGTAATGCACAAGGTTGGTGCGCTTCTTGTTGTTTCACTTCCCGGGATTCCACACAGGAAGGTCACACCAACCCTCACCATCATCAGGTAGATGGATCCAGTCATGGGAACCCACCAGAGAGATGTCCCCGTCCTCTGTATTCCCGGGATTCCACACAGGAAGGTCACACCATCCCTCACCATCATCAGGTAGATGAGGAACAATCACTGATAGTATCATTAGGATCTGTACATTATCTGCATTGTTACCATTGATGGCATTTTATTATATCTTTCAGAGTGGAATCCTCGGGGATTATAATATTGTTGTTAAAGAAGAGTATAAAGAGGAGGATGAGGAGTATGGAGTGATGGAGGAGTTTTCAGAAGGACACAAGGATATGATGGAGCCACCTAATACCAGGAACCCACCAGAGAGATGTCCCCGTCCTCTGTATTCCCGGGATTCCACACAGGAAGGTCACACCATCCCTCACCATCATCAGGTAGATGAGGAACAATCACTGACAGTATCATTAGGATCTGTACATTATCTGCATAGTTACCATTGATGCCATTTTTATTATATATTCAGAGTGGAAACCTGAGTGAATTAAAAGTTGATATTAAAGAAGAGATAAAAGAGGAGGATGAGGATGGGGTGATGGAGGAGTCAGAGCTTCTAAAAGGACACAAAGATAAATTCCAGGACACCATGGTGGAGTCATCCAGCTACAGAAACCCACCAGAGAGATGTCCCCGTCCTCTGTATTCCGGGATTCCACACAGGAAGATCACACTACCCCTCACCATGACAAGGTTGGTGGGATGGAGCATCTAGAACATGGAACCACGGAGGCGGTCTGTGTTGTTTTTGTTTTATGTGATGTCACAATTATAAAGCTTATGTTTTACAGATGTTATTGTCCACCATTCTCTTGGTTTAGGGTGAAGATCTGATAGATATAAAAGTTGAGGTTAAATCAGAAGAAGAAGAGGCGTATGTGAGGGATGATCAGCAGTCTATGGAGGAGGATGGAATAACGGGGACATTTATAGAGGAGGACACTCCTACAGAGATCAGCACAGGTGGGTCATGAACACTAAATCCATTCCTCCACCCATACTGCTCACTGATTGGTCCAGAGTAGGGCGGGGACTGGGTGATATCAGCCTGTAATCCCCTGGTCACTTTCCTGAGCTGTGTTCCCCGTCCTGTATTCCTGGATTTCTCTCGGATAATCTTCCTTCTCTGTGCTGCAAGCACCTGAGGCATATATTTTATTTCTGCCACATGTCCCAATCTAGCAAGATGAGACAATCTATCAATCAGAGCATTTTCCCAGTGTTACTCTGTTATCTGCTGGCTGTGCCGGGTGGAGGGATATGTCTGTATAGTCTCAGACCCAAGTCACTGAGTGCAGTCTCAGGAGATGGGAGGCAGCGGTGTGGGATCTCTGCAACTTGTCTCAGTTATGTAAGCATTTAATCTTCCACTTATTACTGAAAATTGTGAGTCCTGACTCTTACAGAATATAATTTGTATTGTACATTACATACTCCTGACCCCTGCACTATATACTCTATGTTGTACATTACATCCTCCTGACCCCGGCACTATATACTCTATGTTGTACATTACATACTCCTGACCCCTGCACTATATACTCTATGTTGTACATTACATACTCCTGACTGCACTGCTATATGTACATTATATACTCCTATGGATTCTCTTTTGTTACACCCATTTCCTACCAGATTCTCTGGACAGCTTCCAGCTGGACATTTTATATCGGATGATGTGATTGGAGCACAGACTTTTACATGGTGATAATAATGTGATAACATCCTCCAACTTTGGACCTTAAACAGAAAGTGATAATGAGGGAGGAGTCACTACCCCAATGATGGTGGTCTTCAGGATCAGTCCAGTCTTCATCTTGGTTGTTCTCCCCCCATCCTCACTCTCTGACCTCTGGTGGGGCTCAGCCCCGCTGTTCTTCATGACTAAATCATGGACTAAATAAGGAAGTGCAGTACTTCTTGTGTTGGGAAGATGGCGATGAGTGATAGAGGGGGTGGGGACCCTCGTCCTATAATCCCCTCATCACTGTCCCTCCTATAAAAGACAGTTCTGGTTGTTTCCTCACTCTCTGACTAAGGTCCATGAATAAAGAAATGACCTGGTAGGAGATCAGAGGAGCCATTTCCTAGTTCCCTTGAGGGTGGAATTGTAAGCTCCTCAGAGACCAAGCTGCCTGATGTGGGCGGAGTTCTGGTTTGGGGGAACCAATCAGCTCCTGTCTAGTAATCCTCTTTGTCTTTGTATTTTAGTCCATGGCCGGGAGATGAGGAAAACCTCCGAGGATTGTCTCACTTTGTCTCCAGACTGGAAAGTAGAAGATGAGGACATCACACAGTATAGTCCAGGAGAAAACCCGGCTCCCTCCAATGTCCATCCGGCACCACCCAGTGTAGATGGACCATCGGATTCCTCGTATCCTGAGGAACCTCAGACTGTGCGGGACCGGGGGCCGGCCTTCCAACAGGGAAGAGGCTCTCCCGTACTGAGTGCGGGAAGCAATTCAAATTTAAATCTGGTCTTAGCGGGCATAATGGATCTCACACAGGTGAGAAGTCACATTCCTGTCCTGAGTGCGGGAAATGTTTTTCAAAGAAGTGCAAGCTTTCCATACATCAGAGATCTCACACAGGGGAAAAACCATATTCCTGTTCTGAGTGTGGGAAATGTTTTTCAGTGAAGTACTCACTATACAAACATCAGAGATTGCACACACAGGTGAGAAGTCGTATTCCTGCCCTGAGTGCTGGAAAGGCTTTTTAACAAAATCAGAACTTATCACACATCAGAGATCTCACACAGGGGAAAAACCATATACCTGTCCTGAGTGCGGGAAATGTTTTACACGAAAGGCCAATCTTAAAACACATCAGAGATCTCACACGGGGGAGAAGCCGTATTTCTGTCCTGAGTGTGGGAAATGTTTTTCAGATAGGTCCAATTTTTACACACATCAGAGGTCTCACACGGGGGTAAAGATGTATTCCTGTCCTGAATGTGGAAAATGTTATTCACATAAATCTAATCTTCACATACATAAGAGATCTCACACAAATGAGAAGCCATATTCCTGTTTTGAGTGTGGGAAATGTTTTGTACGAAAGGCAGAACTTTTCACTCATCAGAGGTCTCACACGGGGGAAAAGCCGTATTCCTGTCCTGAGTGCGGGAAATGTTTTTCAGCTAAGCCATATCTTTACACACATCAGAGATTGCACACGGGTGAGAAGCCGTATTCCTGTCCTGAGTGTGGGAAATGTTTCTCAAAGAAATTCAATCTTTCCATACATCAGAGATATCACTCAGGTGAGAAGCCATATTCCTGTGCTGAATGTGAGAAACGTTTTTTTTAAAAAATCAGAGCTTGTCACACATCAGAGGTCCCACAAGGGGAAGAAGTAGTATTCCTGTCCTGTCCAGACATCAGAGATCTCACACGAGGGAGAAACTGTATTCCTGTTCTGAGTGCGGGAAATGTTTTTTTCACGTAACTCTTATCTGACAATGCATCAGAGATCTCACATAGAGGAGATATCACTCTCCTGTCCTGAGTGAGGGAAATGTTCCTCACTGAAGTCCTGTCTTCCTGTACATCAGGGGTCCCACACAACCCTGGAGGTGTATTAGTGCCTTGAGTGCGGGAAATGTTTTCTAGATGAATGTTGCTGGACATCCCCGCTCTCATGTGGGGAAGAAGCACACGCTGATATACTTCATCATGGAAGAAACAGTTGATAAGGAGATCAGAGGTCCCCAAAGACATGGATGAAGCGTGGGACCGAGTTGACCATTGATAGGAGAAGAATAAAAATGGAGTCCTGCCCTGTCATTGGCTGAGTACATTTTGTGGTGTAAGCTCTCGCAAACACCTAGAGGACAATATAAGAAACGAAAAGGGTTGAACAAATATGCCCGTGTGTGGAATGCTAGCCGTATTTATTTCCTTCAGTGTTTCCCTGTGATGGCTTCATCTAGGGGCCATAATGCAGTACTCTGCTATTTGTCGTGATGGAAGTATTTTTGGAAAAACACAGAATGATGGAGCTGAGGATCATAGGAAATCATTGTGTTAATTCAATTGCGGCCGGAATTTGTAATGGCTGAACCAATGCTTGTTGTGGTGATGATGATAATGCAGAGAATGTAAGAGCAAAAAGGATGGCTGTCAGAGCCTGGGTCCGAACCTGGGCCTTCTGCCACGAGAGGCAATGTTTTTCTTCTCGCTGAGCCACCTGAAATACTGGACAGCTCCCTTGACAATTATTTGGATGATCCTGCCTTGACCTTGTTTCTCTTGAACCTTGAACCCCTTGCTCCTCCCATGAGCTTCCTGATAAAAGCCATGCGTCTGCATTTCCTGTGTGCCAGATTATTGTGCTCTCCAGCCAGTATCTCGCTGTTCCTGGACTACGATTCTGCCTCACCCCATTTACTACTGCTTGTTACCGACCCTTGGCTTTTTGACTGTCTCCGCTTCTGCTAGATCCCTAACCTGCTCTATCTGCTATTGTATTCTGGCTTGCTCATTCCCTGGTGGGGTGATCCTGAGACTGTGACCTGGTAATAACATGCAGCCAAATCCATCTCCACCATCAGGAGTTCTGGTGAAAACCGGTTAGTGCTTAGACCTCGCACCTCGGGTGAGCCTGCGTTATCTCCCAGGGTGACCTGCTGGTATACCTATCCTGCTGGTTTCAGGTAAGCCTTAAGCTGCTATAGAAACTGGTCTCTGAACCTGATCCAGACTGTGACACACTCTTGGGAATAGTCAAAATGGCCACCGGCCTTCCATGCGGCCTCTGCGGCATGTCAATGCAGCAAAGCTCCTCCCTGACGTGTTTCGTGCGCATGCACGTTGTCAAAGGGATCTGAGATTCCTGTCAGGGAGGAGCCTCGTCGCACTGATGTCACACTGCAGCAAGGCTCCTCCCTGACGTGTTTCGTGCGCATGCACGTTGTCAAAGGGATCTGAGATCCCTGTCAGGGAGGAGCCTCGTGACGCACTGATGTCACACTGCAGCAAGGCTCCTCCCTGACGTGTTTCGTGCGCATGCACGTTGTCAAAGGGATCTGAGATCCCTGTCAGGGAGGAGCCTTGCCGCATTGACGTCACACTGCAGCAAGGCTCCTCCCTGACCTGTTTCGTGCGCATGCACGTTGTCAAAGGGATCTGAGATCCCTGTCAGGGAGGAGCCTTGCCGCATTGATGTCACACTGCAGCAAGGCTCCTCCCTGACGTGTTTCGTGCGCATGCACGTTGTCAAAGGGATCTGAGATCCCTGTCAGGGAGGAGCCTTGCCACATTGACGTCACACTGCAGCAAGGCTCCTCCCTGACGTGTTTCTTGCGCATGCACGTTGTCAAAGGGATCTGAGATCCCTGTCAGGGAGGAGCCTTGCCGCATTGACGGCAAACTGCAGCAAGGCTCCTCCCTGACGTGTTTCGTGCGCATGCACGTTGTCAAAGGGATCTGAGATCCCTGTCAGGGAGGAGCCTTGCCGCATTGACGTCACACTGCAGCAAGGCTCCTCCCTGACGTTTCGTGCGCATGCACGTTGTCAAAGGGATCTGAGATCCCTGTCAGGGAGGAGCCTTGCCGCATTGATGTCACACTGCAGCAAGGCTCCTCCCTGACATGTTTCATGCGCATGCACGTTGTCAAAGGGATTTGAGATCCCTGTCAGGGAGGAGCCTTGCCGCATTGACGTCACACTGCAGCAAGGCTCCTCCCTGATGTGTTTCGTGCACGTTGTCAAAGGGATCTGAGATCCCTGTCAGGGAGGAACCTTGCCGCATTGATGTCACACTGCAGCAGGGCTCCTCCCTGACGTGTTTCGTCCGCATGCACGTTGTCAAAGGGATCTGAGATCCCTGTCAGGGAGTAGCCTTGCCGCATTGATGTCACACTGCAGAGGCCGCATGGAAGGCCAGCAGCCATTTTGACTATTCCCAAGAGTGAGTGCTGACAGCCATCCTTTTGCTCTTATATTCTCTGTTCCTGTGATTTAATAAAATACTACACTGTTAGCACCTTATTGTTTCTGGATTGTTAATAATGAGCCTCCAAGGTGGAGATATCCCTGTTTTCTGAGCTGTTTTATCCATTGATGTGGGAGTATCATGGAGCTGCTCCTGGATACTGAGAGGGTCCTGTGAGAGAGGTCTGGAGTTGCCTTGTATGCTGACTGCGTGCCAGATGATTCCACCATCCTTCCCTGTACCCAGATGACCACAGAGGATAATATATACACATGCGCTTTATTATTGCTCTTCTGGTGAGTGCAATCACTTTACCGGTTCCTATCACGGATATCACTAGCACAGATTCCACGGAATTTTGGACTTTAATTTACGTTGCTGATTATATGTCAAAATATTTCATCAAACACTAAAAGTCACTTTTTTATTTATATATTTGTTCACTAATTTATACGTCAGTTTACGACGATACACTGTATATGTTCATATCACTTTCAGCGCAATCAAGCGCTCATGTCAGTCGCTTCATGTTATTTTAGAGCTGAATTTTATATTTTAACAAACGAGATCTGCAAAATACTCACCGTGCTTCTTATCAAATTCCTTGGGGTGTCTACTTTCCAAAAAGGGTTCATTTGGGGGGGGGGGGGGTTAGGTGCTATCCTGGCATTTCAGGGCCTCCGAAACTGTGATAGGTAGTCTGGAAGTGTAATGAGGAAATAAAGCCCTTTAAAAGCCTGAAGGTGCTTATTGGATTTTGGGGTCCTGTACTTGACTAGACTGCCAAAACGTCTCTCACATGTGGTACCCCCATACTCGGGAGAAGTAGCAGAATGTATTTTGGGGAGTAATTCCACATACCCATGGCTTGTGTGAGCAATAAATCATTTACAGTATGTGACAATTTTGTGTAAAAAAAAAAAAAAAAATTTGTCATTTTCCAAAAACTTGTGGTAGAAAAATAAATTATTTTATTGATGCCTCCCAGCAAATAGTTTGGAGTGTCTACTTTCAAAAAAGGGGTCGTTTTTGGGGGGTGGGGGTGTTTTATGCCCAGCATTAGAAGTTTATGCCACACATCACTCACTCTTCTAACCACCTGAAGACTAAGCCTTTTCTGACACTTTTTGTTCACATGAAAAAAATCTGTATTTTATTGCTAGGAAATTAATTTAAACCCCCAAACATTATATATTTTTTAAAGCAAACACCCTAGTGAATAAAATGGTGGGTGCTGCAATTTGTTTATGTCACATAGTACTTGTGCAGCAATTTTTCAAAAGCAATTTTTGAAAAAAAAATACACTTTTTTTTACTTTTAATGGACAAAAATACAAATATTGGCCAATTATTTGGTAAAATATAAAAGATGATGGTATGCCGAGTAAATAGATACCAAACATGACATGCTTTTAAAACTGCGCATGCCACGTGCAATGGTGACAAACCGCATACATTTTTAATATCCATAGGCAATGCTTTAAAAGCCTTTACAAGCTCTTGTGCACAGGTGCACGCGTGGGGTTGGCGATTTTTTTCTTTTTTACGTTATTTTGATTTTTTTTTTTATTATTTTTACACTGTCCTTTTTCAATTTTTTTTTTTTTTATCACTTTTAATGTTATCAGAGGGAATGCAAATATTCCCGATAATCAATGGGCATTGTCATATATTCTTTTTTGAGAAATCTGGGGTCTATCAGGCTCTAGATATCTCCTCTGCCCTTACATTATCTAATCAAACCAGGATCTGTGTGATCAGATGCTTTCCCAATTTACAAATGGCGCTGTTTATATCCTGCAAAACTGAAGTGATGAAATGCTCGTAGCTTCTGAATTCTTAGACTATAGAGATGATTGCCACCATTCTGGTCTCCAATCAGCTCTATGGTCAGCTGGCAGAAACACCGGCTGCATTCTCAGGTTCCGCCGATGGCTCGGGACTGCCCGAGAAGGCCGTGGAAGGCAGCGGGGGAGGGGGGCATCATCTCCCGCTGCTTGTAAAAGCAATCCTGCAGCTAATTACCCACTAGGATTGCTTTTACATGAAAGCCGATTGACTGGCTGAAAAAAATGATACCAATATAATGCCTGCAGCTGTAGGCATCATCCTGGTATAACCATTCAAAGTCCAGTTTTGTACCAGTACATTGCTGATCCTTGCTGGGTATATATGCTATGTTCTTTTTTTTTTTTGTATGCAGCCTGAAAAAAAGAGAAGAAATCTCTGCCAGAAAAAGTGTGTGTGGTATGCCCACCATTAGAATATACCTCCCTGCATCCACCCACTTCTAATGGTGGGCACACATTAGGTCACATGGTGCCACATGTGCCAGTTCCAAGACTGAATAAATGTCTAAATAGTGGCACACTTGAATAAAAATTGTCCACGTATAAGTGGTTCCCCATATGGAAAAAGGATGACACCAAGTCCCAAACTATCTTGCCACTGCCCCCATGTAGTCTGGGCATCCGGGAGGCTCCATGTGACTATATTTTCCCTTGTAAATCCAAAACTTATAAGTATAGCCTGTTGTCCTCTCACAGGTCTTCTACATCTTGACCCCATATCTGGCACGCTTGCTGGGGAGAAATTGCTTGAATGTAAGGCGGCCAGAAAAATGAATGAGGGACTCATCAACGCAGATGTTTTGCTGGGGAGTATAGACATCTGCAAATTTTTGGTTAAGGTGATTTGCGAGGGGCTGAATTTTGTGGAGCCGGTCAAATTCAGAGTCACCCCGAGGATGACAGAGTGTATTGTCATTGAAATGCATAAAACACATTATACTCTCATATCTATGCCTGGCCATGGCAGCAGAGAACACGGCATATGATGAATCGGGTCTGCGGACCAATACAATCGCATTTAATTTTTTTTAATAATGCCCATGTTGAGGGTTAGGCCCCAAAAAAATGTAAATTCGGAAATCATAATGGTTTCCATGTCATTGGTCTGGCAAGGTTTGAATATGGGTTGGCGGCGATAAATTCTTGTGCATATAAACTGCTTTGATCCACAATCAATGCATACAGATCTTCGTTGAAAAACAGCTCCAAGAAAATCAAGGGGAGTAGTTAAATCTGCTGTTTCCACCTGAATTCTGGGTTGGGCAGTGAATGGGGGAAGTATGGGTGCTGCAGAATTTGTGGGCTGCCAATCGGGATTTGCAAGCACTTCCGGAAGGACACTATGGGCTCTACGGGCCTGTGTGCAAATTCTTGGTGGCTGTGGGACAATACTTGTGCTCGCCACCGCAGCAGCTTGTACTGCACTTGTAGGACTCGCTACATCACCAAGTCATACTGCAGTGCTGGTATTATTATTATTATACAGGATTTATAGCGCCAACAGTTTGCTCAGCGCTTTACAATATAATGGGAGACAATACAACAACAATACAGTTAAATAGAAGAGGGTTAGGAGGGCCCTGCTCTTTGGAGCTTACAATCTAAAAGGTATGTAAAAGACCAGGATGTACTAGGTCACTGATGCTCGCCAGTTCACCAAAAGGTAGCGTAGCACTAGTACTGGCACTCTGCTGCATATGAGTCATCAAAATTTACTGACAAGTGCTAACAGAGATCAGGCCTGATTCTGCCAACACTGCGGTTTTGTGTGCAATGTATCAAGTGACAGTGACCTACTGACACTGCACTTGCTGGGGGGGTAAGCGTAGGGGCTAAACGCAGGTGCTGGCAGGTGCCGGGGCTGATCCCGTAATGCTGCATGTTTGGGGACACTACTAATGTGAACGCTGGTATAGTGCTGATCTGATCAAAGATATTGATCCGTTCAGACACTATACTTGCAATGGAGGTTTACTGTGCATAAGCGTCTTCCTGGCAATCAAAGGGTTAAATGTGATGACTGGTGTACTGACGGGCAATCTGATGCCATCTGGTAAGGGCATGAAAACCACGGGACAACTATGATGCTAATGTAGCCCTCAGTGCAATTGAGTTTGACACCCCTGATCTAGAGGTCATAGTGTGATGTTGCAATATTTTTTCTTGATGGAGGTATTTCAGTTATCATACTGCATTAAAGCCACTAGATGGAGATGAGGATCATAGGAAATTACTATGTTCATTTACTAAACAAAAAAAAAGGGGACGTGCCGGGGCAATGATGACAACTGTCATTACCCAAAAATTGCTTATAGTCGAAGCTTTTTTTAGCCTTTACAGGTCATCTGTTTTGAATTAACTTTCATTAATGGCTTAGCATGTAGTGGTCAGGAATATATCATATACAGCCCACCATACAGAGTGCAGTGGTCAGGAGTATACTGTATATGATATACCACCCATGGTACAGAGTGCGGTGGTAAGGAGTATGTCATATACAGCCCAGCATATAGAATGTAGTGGTCAGAAGTGTGTCATATACAGCCTATCATACAGAGTGTAGTGGTCAGGAGTGTGTCATATACAGCCTATCATACAGAGTGTAGTGGTCAGGAGTGTGTTATATATACATCCCTGTGTAAAGAGTGCAGTGGTCAGGAGTATATCATATACAGCTCTGTGTATAGAGTGCAGTGGTCAGGAGTATATCATATACAGCCCTGTGTATAGAGTGCAGTGGTTAGGAGTATGTCATATACATCCCTGTGTAAAGAGTGCAGTGGTCAGGAGTATGTCATATACAGCTCTGTGTATAGAGTGCAGTGGTCAGGAGTATATCATATACAGCCCTGTGTATAGAGTGCAGTGGTTAGGAGTATGTCATATACAGCTCTGTGTATAGATTGCAGTGGTCAGGTATTGCAGAGTAGTAGAACCGTGCCAGTTCCATCCATCCATCCATCCATCCATCCATTCTTTCAGAACACAGAACAGGCTTTCTCTGGGTCTTCTACTGATATTAATTAGAGAGAAAAGTCTCTCCTGTACCGTTCTCTCCTGGACATATCGCAGAATGAAGCCATATTGTTCTTTCAGTGTCATCCTCCCGTGTTCTGTCCATTTCCACACTGACACCAACAGCTCCTCTACCATCCCGGAGTATTTGTTGTCTCGCCATGTTTCCAATGATGGAGATCCGGAGTCTTCTTCTCAATGTCACCAGACCACCTCTTCCTCTACTATTGGGGTGCTGGGCCTTCCTATGACTACTCCGGGCCCCAACCTCTTCTACGTAATTGTGAAGATTTCTATCATATGTACTAAGAAGAGAAAGAAGCTGAAGAAAATACCCATGATGTATGTAGCGCCTCCTAGGTAGCTAGGGGGAGCTATACTAAAAAAATTTTTTAGATAAGGGCTTAGTAGCAGCCCAGGTGAAACAGAGGGAGGTTAAATTTGTGTCAGAGCTGAGAGGTTCTGTAGGCCAGCTCTCTGAGACCACTGCCCTAGAACATTGGAGAAAGTTCTAGAAGCAGTGGGCGGAGGTAAGGAGTGGCTGGTCTGCACTCTTGAGGGATCCTGACCAATCCCCAACAGGAGGCTTGGCTTGGGGTCAGGACTGCCCTTAAAACTGGGAGAGCCTGCTCAGCTGCAGGAGCATTGTTGGAGGAGAGTTGAGGAAGTATTGCTGCAGGGAAGGAGCCTGGGAGGGAGCCCAGAGGGAGAAAAGCTTGCCTTCGGGCAGAAGGATCTGGGAAGGCTGAAAGGTTCACTGGCCCCCTGAGAGAGGATCACCTGTGTGGCAGAGAAGGAGCAGCCCAGCTAGAAGGCCTTGCACCAACCCGTCAGTAACCCGGGAGAAGGACTAAGTGTGTAAACCTGCACCTCATGGGCCAGATAGGGGAATAGGGTTGCCACCTCATCCCTTTAAACCCTAAAACATATTAATTACACAGGTTCCGTGGCTGATTAAGGTGGTAATTAAAAGTGCCTTATCTGCATTAAATTAGCCTCAGAACCTTTGCTATGTGACAGACACTGTATCCCATGTCCAGGGATTCCTCCAGGCAGCCAGATAGAGGAGCGTCTGGGGTGGTACTACAGGAGAGGCTGGCCAGCTCTCCAGAAGAGACTGTTTGCTATAACCACTTGTACATACTTCCAGAAGTTGTCCTCGGTTTCTCAGTTCCATTGGGCATCCCATACACCCCGTACCCCATCCAATAAAACTTCAAAACAAGCTCAATGACTATTCACTGACTCCTGAATGCAAGTCTATGTGGAAATGCATGTTGCCTGGCTGTGCAGGGCTATAAGGGGACCCAAAACTTCAGCAACTCCTAAGGAGGTAGTGCTACATGCAGATGAGGGTTCCATATAGTATTAGCAGCAACATGCTGTGACCAAAACCTAGTCTGGCAATGCCCAGAATGACACCAGTGAGTGTCTGACTAATCTCACGGTTTGGATGGACTTTCTCCTTTTGATGATTTCCAGGTGACCATGAGTTAGAGTTCCAATATCTCTCATTTTCTGCAGACAGATATACATTTCCCGATGACTTATGTTATACAGATTCCTCCTGTTCCCCGATACGAGCTCATACACGGGACTTGTTCAATTTTCCAACCAGGAGTGAATGGCCTTGGCAATATACTCTCCCCACGGAGAGGACACGTGGCCTGGTATGGTTCAGGTGGTTGTTGAAGTGCATGCATGTCTTCCCCTTTCCTGGCCAGGCAGGGATACGGGTCTAGGATGAATTTTGTGCGGACCTCATACTTTTATTATTTTGGAGGATCTTTGCAGAGAGTTTTTTTTTTTTTTTCTAAAAAAGCCAACATTGATATACCATTTGCCAGCAACCTAAATGGTCTAATTTTTTCTTTATAAATGTCACTGTTGCTGTAGCCTATCCTACAGCAAGAACTTGAAAAATGCATGAAGTCCCCCCAAAATACATACCAGACCCTTTGGGTTTATTTACTAAAGCTGGAGAGTCCAAAATCAGACTCCCTTCTGCATAGAAACCAATCAGCTTCCAGGTTTCATTGCCAAAGCTTCATTGAACACGCTGAGGTTAGAAGCTGATTGGTTTCTATGCAGAAGGGAGTCTGATTTTGGACTCTCCAGCTTTAGTAAATAAACCCCTTTGAGTCTGGTATGGATTTTAAGGGGGTACATCACACACAAAAAAGTGTGTGGTCCCACAGGAAATTAATTCCAGACTCTGACTTGAGTTTGCAGTCTAGCTGGCCTGGAAAGGGGGAGAGAGAACATGCACACCTTTGAACCATATAAGGTCACATTCCCTCAACATGTAGGACTTCCTTACCAACCTTGCAAAGCAAAGTGCACACATGTTGATGAGAAAAAGGGCCCGATCCCCACAACTCTGTCCAGTTGTTATGGGGGTCTGCATGCAGGGGGCTGATCAGAATCTGGAAATGCCCTTAAATAGTAAGGGAACCCCTGATAACACCCTCCCTTGTGAATAAGTATGGGGTACATGCAGGGGCGGACTGACCATTTGGAAACTCGGGCACTGCCTGAGGGCCCGGGGTCAGTAGGGGGCCCCATGAGATGCCCCTGGTACCTTTTTCATAGCCTTTTTTGAGGACCAATGGCTATATACTTTCATTAGATGGAATAAATATGTAGGAAATGCATCTATTGGAGCAGAGGGCTTAGAAGCCATCCCAGCATTAGAGACCTGTGATGCACTCACCTCCATTCAGGGATTGGGCTCCAGTCCATTTGGGGGGTTCCAGCACTGCTTAAGACTTCACGGGGCTCCTGGTGGAAGGTGTAGAGACCAGGGGCGGACTGACCATTTGAACACTCGGGCACTGCTTGAGGGCCCGGGGTCAGTAGGGGGCCTCATGAAATGCCCCTGGTACCTTTTTATAGGTTTTTTTGGGTATACTTTGAGTGTGAGCAAAGACACAGGGGCCCCATGATCCCCTATTGCCCAGGGGCCCCATGAGTTGTCAGTCCGCCCCTGGGTACATGGTAATCAGTAATAGCTGAATGAGAGCTCCCTGTCATCAGCTGTATAAAGGAAGGGGTGAGGATAGTTGTTGGTAGCAGCATCATTGCTCTAATATGTCCAGTGGCCTTTGCTTACATGACGGGGATTCCCGGTGACATCATTGGTTCCTAGGGACATGGCCAGTGCAAGTACACATGGCTTCCTTAGGCAGTAGTGACAGTGGGAACAGGTCATATATAAAAGAGGTAGGAATGTGGCTTCTATATCGGATGCCAGGCTCCTGACGAACATGGGACTGGAACAGCAGAAAATTTCAAATCAACTCTTCCCTATTCTTTAACAACTAAACCAGGAGCTCATCCTTGGTGGTCAGTGTAGTAATCCCTTACACTGAATAAAATAAAAATGGTGTGGCGCTCAATACCAAAGTAATGAATAATACAAATAACATATATGCAAATTGGTGACACTGAGTGCTCCAAACCAAACAAGGTCACAACAGACCTAATGAGTGACTGGCATATAGTGAACCCAATCCCAATGAGGGATCAATGAACAAGTGACCCTTAGTCCCCACAGCTGGGACTCAACCTATGAATGCGTGAATCCCTGTGGAGGGATAAAGACAAATAAAGTGCTCATCAAATGCAAATAGATAAGCACAAATATAACAAAGTCCAATGAATGTGAACACACACGTGAACACAGCTGAAGTG